AAAAACCCCGGGAAGAATAACGTGAGGCTTATAAATTAAAGCCTTATTTTAATAGTGATTAACTAGATGTGAGGTCACCGAGGAAGAGGTCTTTAGTGGAACCACATGCTAAAAACAAGATTCTTAAATGCTGAGGACACCAAAAGGTAAACCGCCTTTGCACAAATAAAAAGCAGTGAGCTGATGTGAATGTGAACGACTTAACCTCCTGACTTCTAGTTCACGTTTGTGGCAACCTCCTACTTCTGCTGAGGGTCATACAAGCACTTCATAGGATTCTGATACAGAAATGCAGGAGTGCTTTCCCAATAGAAATACCCCATATGATACCATTTTCACAAAAGAATACAGCCATTTCTGTGTCTAGAGTTTTCTCATCAGCAAAGAGTTTCAGGATCTCATTACTCCATCTCTGAACTTCTTTTGTATCCAGGAAATTTACATACCACCTCCCTACTGCTGTGTGAGGCCAGCACCGGGGACATAGATGTGTAATATACTGTTAGCAAGAGGAGTGGACAGTCGGTACGTTCTGATGCTTAATAACATTCTCCAGCCAAGGATACAGCAGGATAAACATCATCAGGTAGAGGTTGTAAATTATTATTCTTATAGTGAAGAAAATGTGCACTGATTTTTATATAATGCATTCTGTGACAACCATCACAAATTCTAAGTTTCCTTTACTGTTCTACAATTAAGACTAGACATTAAATTATAAATGTGGCTGGTTTTTTTTTTTTTTGAGGTATAATTGACATGCAACATTATGCTAGTTTTAAGAGCGCAACATAAGGATCTGATATTTGTATACACTGCTTAATGATCACAGGAAGTCTAGTTAATATCCGCCACCATACATAGTTACAGGATGACTTTAATTATCATCATTTATAATCAAGAAAAAGTAGAGGTCAGTTTGACTCAAATACTCGGGATTTGTGTGAACAACATGTTCTAGAAATATGTGTGTGCCATGTGACTAGACGTAAGAGGGAGAAAGCTGCCTGAGGGTGAAATTACCTGGGCTTTAGCCCCATTTGGGTCTCGAGCTGAGCCCAGACAACAGGGATGCAGCGATGATTCCGGGCACAGCCCTCACCCTCACAGGCTCGTTTCTACACCTGCAGACCAGCAGTGTTATGAGGTAAACCTAAAGTCTGCAAAGTACACAGCAAAGAGCGTGGTCCACAGCCAGCAAGCCACACTGGGACACAGATACCACGTTATCCAGGTTTGACAATCTCGCCTTCCTTCCTCAGTTTATGTTACGGACCAGACTCAGCAAAGCTCCAGTGCATAACAAGGAATATTCTCTCATTTACCTGTCACACTGAGAAACTGATCAGGGTAATAAATAGCAATGAATTAAAAAAATTAAATGCCTTGGTGTTATTTAAAAAATTCAGGCTACTTTACATAAACAGAAAAACGCCAGAACAGTAATGCGCAATTCACAAAATTTTACATGCAGAAGATGCTTCATACATACTTTTAAAAGAAGCTGATACTTTGTTATTCGCTGAACCGGCTTAATAAGGTAAGAAGAGATGGAATTGGCTAATCCATGCCGCTGTTGTATTTCCTAAATTAAGAAGAAAATAGAGAGAGACGAATGTTACTGTAATGTTAATTATAGCATTTGAATTAGCATGAACTAAAAATGCACTTTTTACCTCCAAAATGAATATACACATATCACTGTTGCTGTATAAAGAAAAACAGAAATCACTGTTCTTTTAATATGCTGAACATGAGAACGGGTGATCACTTTGAACCAGAAGGTGGCGCGTCCAATCTACATTGCTGGCTCTCCCGTGCAGATCTCAACTAGGCCAAGCCTACAACCTCTGCTCTGGGCCCGCGCTGGCCTCCAACTCCCCCGGGCCGGCCCGGGGCCACTCAGTCCAGACAGGAGGAGCTAGGGATGGGGATGGGGACAGGGCGCACCCTCTCCCACCGCAGCTCCTAAGCGTTTGCCTTGGCGTCGCCTTGGCCAAGACCACGTCCCCGCCCCTGGCCTGACTCCCCTTCACTAACGAGTTCGCACACCATGGAGGATTCCCTCCACGCGCTCTCAGACTTTCCACGCCCACCAGCGGTGCTTGCATCATCTTTTGGCTCTTAACACTCTTCTCAGAAAATCTTCAAAAAAACCCCAGCACCACCAAAAAAAGGTTATCTCCTCACATTCTATGCTTCCAATGAGATTCAAACACCACTACACTCTTGTGTTCTCAATCTGCTTGTCACTTTGATTAAGCTCATGGGGACCCGTGCGTGCGTTGTGCCAGGATTCCTGTGAGTCGCTGCCGATGGAGTGCCGGCTGCAGGACAGCCACCAAGCGACTTGTCCCTCACATGCCACCCAGGTTCAAAACTTAGCAATTCTTCCTCTGCCTTCCTGATCACGAATGTAGTTTAAAACTTTCTCTTCAATTTGCAATTGTTCAAAAATGTGCAATTTATCATTTAATGATTATGATACACACATTCATAATTTCACATCTAAAACATTTTTCATATAGAATATGATCTCAAGTACAGGTCACTGAGTTCTGACAAATGTCAACACACTTGCAAACAATTCCCAAACCAAGGTGCAGAACATTTCCAACATCACAGGAAGTTCTTCAGGTCCCTTTCTAACAAATTCCCCCACCCACACCCCACCACCACCAAGAGGCAACCCCTATTCTGATTACTATTGCCAGATTAGTTTTGCATATTCTAGAATTTCACACAAAAGGAACCACACAGAATGTACTCCTTCATATCTAGCTTCTCTCAGCCCATGTTTTGGAGATTAATCTATGCTACTTATGTATCAAGAATTTATCCTTTTATACAGTTGAGAAGTATCCCATTTCATGCATACCCAACATTTGAGAGATACTATAATGTCTTTTTAGTACCTTGTTTTAATAACATTCAGAAATACATCTCTGATATTTCTGAACACCAATCTATTTTTGTTGACACCCTTAATACCTTATCATAGGATTATACTATTAAAAAATGACAAGAGAGGAATGAATACCCAATGGGTAAAAGATAGTCTATTCAATAAATGGTGCTGGCAAAACTGGACAGCAACATGCAAAAGAAAGAAATTGGACCACTTTCTAACATCACACACAAAAATAAATTCAAAATGGATTAAAGACCTAAATGTGAGACCTGAAACCATAAAAATCTTATAAGAGAGCACAAGCAATAATTTCTCGACATTGGCTATAGTAACTTCTTTCTAGATATGTCTCCTGAGACAAGGGAAATAAAAGCTAAAATAAGCCATTGGGACTACATCAAAATAAAAAGCTTCTGCACAGCAAAGGAAACAACCAACAAAACTAAAAGGCAACCTACTTAATGGGAGAAGATATTTACAAATGACATATCCGATAAAGGGTTAATATGCAAAATATACAAAAACTGATATAATTCAACACCCAAAAACCAAATAATTCAATTAAAAAATGGGCAGAAGCTATGAATAAATATTACAAAGAAGACATACAGATGGCCAACAGACACTCGAAAGATGTTCAACATTGCTCATCATCAGGGAAATACAAATCAAAACCATAGTTATGACCTCACACCTGTCAGAATGACTAAAATAAAAAATACAAGACGCAACAGGTGTTAGAGAGGATGTGGAGGAAAAGAACTCTCCTGTGCTGCTTATGGGAATGCAAACTGGTACAGCCACTGTGGAAAGCAGAATGGAGGTTCTTCCAAAAGTTAAAAATAGATCTACTCTATGATCTAGGAATCACACTACTGGGTATTTACCAAAAAAATACCAAGACACTGATTCAAAGGGATACATGCACCCCTATGTTTACAGCAGCATAATCTACAAATTATGGAAGCAGCCAAGATGTGGTATGTATGTGTGTGTATACACACACACACACACACACACACACACACACACACACACACAGGAATATTACTTAGCCATAAAAAAGAATGAAATCTTGTCATGTGCAATAACACGGATGGAGCTGGAGAGTATAATGCTAAGTGAAAAAGACAAATATCATATGATTTTCACTCATATGTGGAATTTAAGAAGCAAAACAAATGAACAAAGGAAAAGAGAGAGAGAAACCAAGAAACAGACTCTTAACTACAGAGAACAAATGATGGTTACCAGAATAGAGGGAGGTGGGGGGATGGGAGAGACGGGGAATGGGGATTAAAGAGTACACTATCATGATAAAAAAATTAAATTATTAAAAAGAATAAAGACATAAAGTTACAGAGAGAGAGGGAGGCAAACCATAAGAGACTCTTAAGGACCGAGAAGAAACTGAGGGTGGATGGGGGGTAGGGGAGAGGGAAAAGTGGGTGATGTCATGGAGGAGGGCACTTGCTGGCATGAGCACTGGGTGTTGTATGGAAACTAATCTGACAATATATTTAAAAAAAAAATAAAAAAATAAAGACAAAAATGGCTACATGATCCAACTATTCTTCCAAAATACCTGACAAAGGTTTCATCCTGCTAAAACAATAGAGCTTCCTTTTTCTAAAAAGCTGTTAAGGGTATTAACAAAAACTTCTGTGCTTCTAAAATTTTACTTTGAATGGTGGGGGGCAAAGAAAGGGAGGATCTAGCTCACTGGTCAGTGGCATATCTAACACCATAATTTCTGCTTTGCCTTTGTATTAAGCTGTTTACATGCAATAACGTCCTTGCTGGGAAGGTGGGCACTTTGGGTTATCCACCACTCCATGCTAAGCACCTATGACCAGGCACATTGAGCTAAATGAGCCCCAAAAAGATGTGGGATCATGCTGGACAATGAATACTGAAGGCAAGTAATTTGTGAAATCCCCAAATCAGACAAGCATAATTTCTTTAAAGATGTTTTAAGGACAAAGGTTTTGGTTTTTTTGTTGTTGTTGTTGTTGTTGTTTTTTAATGGCTTTGATTCCAAAGCCATTTGATTTGATTAAATGTGCCACATGCTCTCAGTGCTTAGGCCTTAAATGATTCTAACTCTGCACAGAGCCATGGTGTTGAGTTTCACCTGATGGCAAAGACCCAGGGTCATGTGAAAAACAGAAAAAAAAAGGGGGGGGGGGCGGACAGCACTGGGCTGGGAGCTGACTTTATATTTACAAAGGCAATGATGTATAATTGCTAGTCAGGAGAATGACAACTAAAACAAGGCCATCTACAGGGCTTCACCTCAAAGATACAAGCTAAAATTTATTCTCATTTCCCAGACTTCCAGAGAACGGCAGAGTATCACACATGGCAATGCCCCAGCGTAAAGACAGAAACAAATCTAATGTTCTCACAGCCTTGTGAGAAATTATACGTAACATCAAAAAGTACTCCCATCTCTTAATCAAGATGTATTTGGCACACATTTAACTACATTCTGGAGACCCAAAAAGCATTCTGTAAATTATATCAATAAGGCTCTATCCTCTTTCGTACTAAATAACCTCCCTGCAATATCTCTCCAAAAAAGATGACCTACATCTACAACAATGGGAATATAATTAATAAGCCTCCCAATGGTCCTAGGGACAGTGCTATCTGTAAAAATTTTATTGGCAGGCTACTTTTGGAATCACATAAAAATGAGAAAAATAAATGACTAAAAAGGATTCAAAGATTCAAAGATAATTTTTGTTTCACAGAGAGTAAAAGAAGCCGAAAAGTTTGTACCTTCTGTATAACATGATATTACACCTAAAATTACTATAAATTGTAAGTAATGTCATATACACATGTACATGCTAAAATCTTGGATCTTTTTTTTTTTTAAATTTTTAATGTTTATTTTATTTTTGAGAGAGAGAGACAGAGCATGAGTGGGGGAGGGGCAGAGAGAGAGGGAGACACAGAATCCGAAGTAGGCTCCAGACTCTGAACTGTCAGCACAGAGCCCGATGCGGGGCTAGAACCCACGAATGGTGAGATCATGACCTGAGCTGAAGTCGGACGCTTAACTGACTGAACCACCCAGGATCTCCTAGAAGAATCTTTCAATAACAGAAGAATATATAACAATATCCCACCATAAATATGACAGATAAACAGGAAAATACCGTATCATCAAATAGATGAAAGTTAGGAGTGATGCTGCATTTTATGTATACCAAATACAACTTAGAAGATTTCACAGCTTCATCAGGAATCTATTACTTACATCAAAGTAGGACCCTGCATGCTCTAGTATCAGCTGAGTAGAATCCGGCTTATTTTTGCAATACGTGACATACATCTGAAACTTGTCTGCCTATAAACAACAACAACAACAAATTAGAGTATCTCTTTCAAATGGCAGTACCTCAAAATATGATAAACTTTTATGCAGAAAAGAAGCTGTGGGGATAAAGGAAATTTAAGCTCTAAATAAAAGAAACTCTATTTTATATGGAAAGCTGTTAAAAATGAGAAACACATCCTATTGGTATACACACCTCCAGAAGCTTCCCTTGGCCCAGTAAGTCAGGGCTGGGCACACCCACTCTGTTCCAGTTGCCAGTGCAAACCCAGGCATCACATGTGGATGGCAGGGCACTACCACCAGGTGACTGTCTGGCTCTCCTCCCGACTGCACAACATCCCCCCTCCCACCTTGCCAACCTGGCCCCCCAGACATGGCTGAGCATTCATGTTGATCTACGCATTTCCAGGACCACGTGCAGGACTGGCACACTAAATGTTCCATTTCAAACCATCACTATTGCCAATAAAAAGCTCGGTCCACGTTAATAACTAGTTGCAGAATGTAAGTCTTTGAGGCAAAGTCCATTTCTCCGTAAGCAGACACTGTAGAAGATGGTGACATAAGAGAAATGGACCACATTCCTTTCGAACTTCCTGCAAAGCCACCAAACAACCGTGAGAACAAGTAGCCGAGGTTTCATTACCCAAGTAACAAAGCAGTGTCCAACGTCTTCTGGCAACTGCTCATATTTTTCCAGCTCTTTCAGAAATATGCTGCAGAGAGTAAAAATGGTACTATATTATTAAGATGTCTTAAAACATTTAGTAGTGAGATAGATATGCCAGAAATCAGGCCAAGCATATCACTTCAATCAAATACAGTGAAACATCTGTGCTGTCTAGATTTTAAGGATTTAATAACCCATGTAGCTCTTAACTCGACTAAGTTATTGTGACTTTCAAACAGCTACTCAGTTTAGCCTTTAAACACTTTCTAACACAAACTTTAACCTAGCAGCTTTACTTTTGGGCAAGTGCTATGTTCCCTAGCTGAGGATTTAATTTAGGGATGTAAATGAACACTCAGAAGAACCCACTTAGATTTCAGTGTCTTGTGCTGGGGTGGGGGCAGGGGAGTGGGGGAGACCCCAGCATCTCTGGCTCTAGCAGTCTCTCTCCATAGGCTAGAGGGCTGTGCAGACGCTATCAAAAGGAGCTTCTGTTTCTTAAAAAACAAACAAACAAAAAAACCAAAAACCCAAAATAAAAAAAACCTTAAAAATAAAGCCATGTGCCTCCTGTGGCCACTGGACAGTGTATTTTAGTTTGGTCAGACTACGCATCTGTTCTGTCCTCAGTGCCTTCTCCCCTCTTGTTCAGAAAGACCAAGGGGTGGCCAGCAGCCACACACAATTCTTCTTTCTTTTCATCCTAAGTAACAAATGTAGCAGCTGACGACATAGCTTGGGAGAAACAAGGGTTCCTCCAAAAACAGTTTTCCTAATCTCATTTCTATAGCAGGTAAGAACAAACATAAAGTCGAGTCTCTATCATGATAGGTTCAACAACGTCAGTCTTTTGGAAGAAAGCCTGATAGTCTTCATTCAAATTTCAACAAAATCACTGAAATGGATGCTTAACTCAGTTGGGAGCTTTCATTTCTTGTTAGGAAACTTCAGCACCATATCTAGATTTCAAGAGGAACCAGCTCCCCAGAGATAAAGCCACTCACTTATTGTGAAACTCATAGATTTCCTGCATGTTCCCGAAGATGACGAGCTCTCTGTTTACGATGCCGGCCGGGATCTCCTCCACCCCGCTGGTCATCTCCCACAGGTATGTCTGGCCGGGAGGGAAGCAGAGGGATTACACAAAAACCCAAGAGCACATGTCCAAGAAACGGCTGTTCCTGCCTCTAGAATACGTACCCAGAGCTCACGAATCACCGAAAATCGATCTGAAGTATGGAACCTTTCCCAAAACATGAAAAACTATTTTCCAGAAAAGCCCCCCCAGTTGCTGTGAGCCCTTCAGAGTAGTTCCTCGGGCTCCAGCTTGAGACTCTCCATTCCTGGTGTCAGACTTGGGAGCTAACCTCCCTGCTCTCTGAGGTACGACAACTATTCTTTAAACTACTGAGTATCAGTTGCGAATCATAATTAGAAGGCACATTTCTCTGAAGCTGCTGTAAAGTTCTGTACAAAGAGGATGGCAGCCAGGCCGTCATGTGACGAGCGGAATGACAGGATTAGTGCTGTATCATCTCTGTGATGAGCAAAACATGGGCCTGGAAACTCACGGAAGGGTGGGAACAAGAAACAGGCTGCTTAAGCACACTGAAAATCTCGAGAACAACAACGGCAACAAGGGTGATTATTTTAAGAATTACCAACAGTCAGGGAGAAAACAGCGCGCTTAGACTGGATCTAAATAAACAAGCAAGAAAACTTACTTACATCCATACACTCCCGGAGGTCCCTCACGTAAGCCTTTTCAGTTTGAATTAGCTCCGCCATTATGAACCTTGAACACAGGAAGACCGGGAAGAGCTTAGTTCACCGTCAGGACACAGGCTTATCTGAACTATGTACTTTTATGGCTTATGAAATAATGAGAGTTTTCAAAGCAGTAGTCAGTAATGTGTTTGGGGAATTAAACCAAGAAGAGACAGAACAGTAACAGCATAAAGCCACCAATTCAAAGGGAAAACATTTTGTTGAGGTACACCAGCAGGTCACGTTTTCTCCATCAGCACCGCTGACACTTGGGGGCAGATAATGCTTTGCCGGGGGGCTGTCCTGTGAACTACAGGATGTTAGTGGGATCCCCGGTCTCCACCCCTGAGACGCCAATAGCATTGCCCCCTCCCATTTTGTGACAACCAGAAATGTCAACACACATGGCCAAGCATCCCCTGGGGGGTCACAACTGCCCCCAGCTGAGAACCGCTGGTTTAGGACAATCTTTGGAACGTCTGGTACAGTTTACTAATTGGCAATTTTGAAACATCTCCACGTGTTATTTTTTCTCCTTGGTACTACTAGTCATGACCTACTGATGACAAATGACACTACAACAATTTGTCAACCCCATACGAAATGGAGGCACAGGAACAAAAAAAAGACACGGCTTCTGAAGCAAGTGGTAAGGGTACAGTGCACACAGTGAGTCTGAACATCACAAGGTATCATTGCCATCCGGTTTCAAAGCACACACAGCAGTGGGTTTGTCCAAGCGACATTTTCTTCACTTTTTCAATGAATCCCAGCAGGTTCTTAAAGACTGGCTTACTCTTTCCTGCGGGCCGACTTCCGTTTTTCTTCGTTAAGTTCATGAGCAGCATCGCGAAGCTTCACCTCTGACCCAGGGACACTGGCGGGGATTATGTCCAGCTGAAGACTTTTACTCTGTGGAGGAAGAGAGCCAATGAACTTGAGTTAATTAGATCCGGGGAGGACATGAGGAAGAACACCATGGTTTATTCTGTTTGCACAGAGCAATTTACCGATTTGTTGGAATCTGAAGAAATCCCCAGGGCTTTCTCCAAAGAGGTCCTGTACTTCTCCATCCGCAGAGAGAAATCCCTGTACCTCTTATCCACTGCAGTGACACATTTTTTTATCTCTGCTGCATGGGCATGCCCTTTTTCACAAAAGCCATCAGCCAGCTGTATCAACAGCTTCACTCTCTCTTTGGTTTGCTGCGGAAACAACAACAGGAAAGTATTGTGAGGCAAATGAACTCAACTGCCAGAGACACAGTGGCAACTTGCCTACAACTCTGAGCTCCCGACAGGGAAAAACTGCTGGTCAGAGAAATGTCCCCTGAAGCTCCAAGTCCACCAATTCACCCCCTGATCCCGGCCTGGCCGCTTCCCCACAGAGAATGGCATGTTTACGACTGCAAAAACCAACCCGAATCTAGCCCTTCTCTCGGCTTGGCTTCATCTGGTGGACGCCCGAGAGACACCTGTGGAAGGGATACATGTGTCTCCCGTGGCCCCGTGGTCCCCACTGCTGCTCCCTGCCCGTTCATCCCCTGCGCCCACGGGGACGGAAGGCCTGCTGAGATCCTGGCAAAGGAACCCCCACACTGCAGACACTCGGTGAAATCCTTGAAGTGACTCTGCACCGCACATTCGTTTCTTTTTCAATTCTCGGTAGAAATGAAGGAAAGATCGCTAGCCAGGAAATGATCTTTAGAGAAGCATATTAAATGCTCTTCACTGTTTTAGAACTCCCTCTCAAAAATTATTTCATTTGTACGTGTACTTAGAAAAAATACTTCAATTAAGTTAAACACAACCGCCTTGGTTTTCATACAGTTCAGGAGAACCACAAAACATTGGTTTAATATCTATGGCAGTAACATCCCTCAAAACTGAGTTTTCAACACCTGTTTTCATCACATCCATTGGTTACTAGAGCAAGGCTTCTTTCGACAGTCGCACTGGCATTTCAGGCGAGTACTGTTCTTCTCTCGGAAGGGAACCTGATTTTCTCCACTAACCTTTATCTAGGAAATCTTTACGACCAACACTCAGGAAGGTGACTTTAAAAATCCCCAAAAGGTGCACCGGAGAGCAGGGGCCTCAAAGTAAAACTCCCCAAAAGGATAAAGGTCAGGGCTCAAAACCTGGATAAATTTTCCTAGTTTACACAGAAGTGTGAGGCAGCATGTCCTCGGCGACCTGCAAAGGCAGCTGTAGAATCCTCGGGCTGCGCATGCACACCCCGGGCAACCTGCATCCAGCCCCGCGCTCCAGGCACAGGCCCGGTCTGTGTTTCCTTCCACCATGGCCCCTCCTGCCTGGAATGCTACTCTGTGGCTCCCTCGTGTCTTTGCTCAACCAAAGGCCACCATCTCAATAGGCCCTCCCTGAGTCCCTTAAAAGTACAAGTCACCTTCCTGCCCCAACTATCCTCACTGGGCCTGCTCCACTCTCTCCCGGGACACAGGTCACCTGCCACAAGGATATAGTTGACTTACTACTGTTACCGTCTGCCACTATCTTATTAGAATGTAACCACCACAGGCCTGGGATATTTGGGGTTTTTTGCTTACTAATATCTTACTCACCTTTCGTGTGCCTGGCACATAGGAGACAGTCACCAAATATTTACTGAAAATTAAGTTAACGTTAGATTTTATGGGAAAATAGGTATATGCTTGTACCTTTAATGGGGTATGGCAGTTACTCTTAACAGGCATTAATACTTAAAAAAAAAAATGAAAACAGAACTCAGATATAATAATCTCCTGTGGAAAAAAAAGGTTATTGCAAAATTCTATAAAAGCTGTTTATTAGAAAAAGTCAGCAAAACTTAAAACACCCTGAAGTTTTTAGGACTTTCATCTGGTGTGGAAATGAGCTCAAGTAGAGTGAGCTAATCAACCAAACCATATGATCTATCAACACAACACCTTTCTGGATATGCTAAGACGAATTATAAACCAAAGACCTAAAAAGTCAAAGTTTCAGAAGTGGAACCATAAATTCCAAAAGGGACTTAACTTAGAACCATTATTAAATTTTAATATCAAAGAGAATATGAGAAAGGCAGGACTGTTTAAAAACTGGGTTGCCTGGAGGCACCTGGGTGCCTCAGTTGGTTAAGCCTCTGACTCTTGGTTTCGGCTCAGGCCATAATCTCACGGTTCCTGGGACCCCTCATCGGGTTCTGTGCTGACAGCATGAAGCCTGCTTGGGGTTCTCTCTCTGCCCCTTCCCGGCTCTCTTTCATCTCAGAATAAATAAGTAAATAAACTTAAAACAAAAAAAAAAAAAATTGGGTTGCCTGGATGAGGTTACACTGCTGGGTGCCAAGATACTAATGTGCCGAGAAGCACAGAGAAGGTGCATTGTGTCACCATGAAAGCATTTCTTCTCTTCCACCGTCCAAGCGCCACTGGTGAAAGGGTACTGCAAGTTATGTGTAGTGTCTCTTCAAGGAGTCAAGAAAACTGTTTCATATTTTAAGCACTGGGGTCATAGGAGTGAAGATAAAACAAAACAAAACAAAAAAACAATGCAGCTTGCCTACATTCAAAGAGAAAACAAAACACTGAAAAACTATAGGAAGATGTCTGCATAACACACGTCACAAAATAGATGAGTTGAATGCATGTCACGCCAATAGGTGGATGCTGTTTAGGACACTAGATGCAGCAGGAAGGTGGGCTAGAGACAAAGCCTGGTGGCTTACAAACTTCATTTAAACAAAAGACACCAATCAGGCAGTCAAGGCTTCTTGAAGATGTGTGGCCAAGCCTCTCCCTCAAAGATGGCAACCCTCCCCCCACCATGTCTATTTGTCTTACTACTTCACAGGAGATGTATATATATTCATCCCAACTAGAAACTGCAGTCCATGAGCCCAGCACCCAGAGCAGTTCTGGCACACTGCAACAGCGTGATTAATAATGATGGGGTGAATGGCGTGATAAAAATTAAGGATGATGAATCTGCTAACTCACGAGCTTTCAATACATTTTTATTTTAACTGTTTTTTTTTTTTAATGTTTATTATTTTGAGAGACAGAGAGAGACAGAATACGATCAGGAGAGGGGCAGAGAGAGGGGGAGACAGAATCCGAAGCAGGCTCCAGGCTCTGAGCTGTCAGCACAGAGCCCGACACAGGGCTCGAACCCACGAACCGTAAGATCATGACCTGAGTCGAAGTCAGACACTTAACCCATTGAGCCACCAAGCACTCCTAACTGGTATTTTTAAAATGCATGCATAGAAATCAAAACTTCAAAGGTAAAAAGGATACAAAGTGAAAAGTCTCCTTACTCCACCTTCCTATGAGGTGTCTCAATGATCAGCTTCATGTGTTACCATTCTAGACACATTTTATTATACAGAGGGGTGTATGTATGTATGTATGTATTTCTCTCTTTGTACTTAAATGCTTGTACACACAAGCCCTGCTCTGCACCCAGCATTTTTCGTTTAACAACTCTCAGACATCCTTCACTATCGGAACACGAGCAGTACGCTTGTTTTAGGTTTGGAGCTGCACAAGATTTCTATGAGCTAATGTGCTCCCACTGAATGGACTTTCACGTCGTTTCTGTTCTTTTCCTAAGCCAGGAAAAAACTGCACGTGTCTGAGCGTGTGTAGCTAGTCTGTGTTTCAAGATGTGGGACGGCTGGGGCAGAAGGGATGTCCATCTGTGACACTGAGCGGTTAACATGGTGACACATCCCCCCCATCCCCAGAGGTCGACTCCATTCACCAGCCCCCTCCAAGGTGCAGCCCCCCCCCCCCATCCCCAGAGATCGACTCCATTTACCAGCTCTCCCCACCGCCAAGGTGCAGCCATAACCTTTTTGGTATCTGCCAATACCTTGGTGAAAACAGAACACAGTATACTTCTGATTTATAGTTTTCTTATTTTAGGTAAATTTGATAATTTCATATATTTAAAAGCCATTTAGAATTCCTTTCCTGGGAGCCCTCTTTAATATCTCTTGTCCATTTTCTTGTTTACTCTTATTGATTTGTAAAAGCTCTTTACAACTGAGAAATCAGCCCTCTGTGATAGGAATTGCGTATTTATCCTCCCTATTTGCTTTCTTTCACTTATGTTGGCCTACACTTTAGAAATTCATACATTTTTGTGTATGTGATTTTATCATTTTTTAGAGCTTTGGGTTTCGTGTCCCGTTATTTTTTCTAGTCATTTCAGGTTTTCATTGTTGATACATTTACCTTGCTATCAAGGTGGGATACGAATCCAACTTAGTTTTTCTCTAGAACGCTGCTCAACGCTATGAAAAAAAAAGCCTTTCTGCGTCTTTTTAAATCAAGTATTACAAAAGTTTTCATCCTTACTGTTCTTTCTAGAGATTGTTACAAAAATAGATTTTATTTCAAAAGCATACAAGTATTATTAATTTGAACAACCTCAGCAGTGGGCAATCAGGGGTTTGTAGAAAAATAAAGGCAAACTGCATTCCTGAGTCCACATGTCAAAGAATCTTTACTCACCATGTTCTTAGGTAAGGAAAAACCCAGGGAGGATGCACATTCAAGGGTCTTAGACACTTTCTAGCAAATGAAGGCTTTTGGCGCTGGGGACAGTGGTGACCGGGATGCAGGAAGTGTGTGGGAAGGAGGAGGAAAGTTCTGCGTCTCGGGCCGCGGGCCTCCCACTCCGCTGCGCTTGTGGAAAAGTCACCTGGGAGCTTGTTTACAGACGCTCATCTTCAGGCCTCACTCCTAAACAGTCTAAGTCAGTAAGTCTCGAATAAGGACAGAAACTGGCTTTTGGGGCGCCTGGGTGGCGCAGTCGGTTAAGCGGCCGACTTCAGCCAGGTCACGATCTCGCGGTCCGTGAGTTCGAGCCCCGCGTCGGGCTCCGGGCTGATGGCTCGGAGCCTGGAGCCTGTTTCCGATTCTGTGTCTCCCTCTCTCTCTGCCCCTCCCCCGTTCATGCTCTGTCTCTCTCTGTCCCAAAAATAAATAAACGTTGAAAAAAAAAAAAATTAAAAAAAAAAAAAGAAACTGGCTTTTAAGTAAACACGCATGACTTGGATACAGGTGATGCCTGTGAAGCACTCTGAGAAATCATTCCATCGGGAGCTGCGAAGGAATCAAGCTGAGGCTTCATGGTGAGACAGTGATAAAAATGCTTTACTTCCATTGCACTAAATGTGTTACAACACTGACCGCTGTAACAACTAAACTGGAGGATGGTCACATCAAGAGCAACAGATTCTCTCCATGACACGGGTAAAGAGGTTTCTTAGAAGACACTATGAGGAGGGGCAGAAGGCGAGCAACAGACATCCCCAGGCATGAGCAGGCGTGGTCTGATGAAGAGAAAGGAAGCCAGAAACCCATGGGAATGAGATGCTAAGCGAAAAAGCGAGAGGTTTTCTTTTCCAAATCCACTAGTTCGTCTGGGCAAAACGGATCCAGCAGACCCAGTGAGAGAGACGGCAAGGTCAGGTGTTACACCGGTGATTTTAGATGCTTATTTTTACAAAACACAAGAGCCAAAACATGCCCCCGTTGCTCACTGTTTAATAACCACACCCCACATCTGAGGAGGAGGGAAATTCAGGAATAAAAATTCCCTTTGAACACACCCTACTGGTGGAACATGGCTGCCATGCGACTGCACCGCAGACAGTGAGGTTCACATGAGCTTCTGTGGGCACGGCGCCCCCTGGAGTCGTGCGGCGACCAGGCTGTTTGGCTGTGCAAATGGTCTGCAGAATGCAGCGTTAATGGAAATTCAGCTTAGTGAAGAGGAACAAATCTTAAATCTATCTCTGAGTGGCATCTTAGGCATTTTCTTAACACCTTTATAATCAAAGGCTATTCAAAAAAAACAAATTTGTAACGCGCACAACTGTAATTTATCCTCCCACTGTTAACAGGAACGAGAACTACACAGCCAAGGGTGTGCTGTATCTCGGGGAAGCAAAAGACATGATGCTTACCTGCAGAGGCAGGCAGGCCAGCTCTCCTCAAATGAGTGGGTGGGCGCCTTCCTCTGGGTGCCCACGGCCCCCATGGTGGGTGCAGCTGTCACTGCCAGACTGCCTGAGCCCTGCCCACCCCCAAATGCTCATGGTGTCCCCACCCAGTGCCAGGTCTCACCGAGCCCCGCAGTGGTCAGTCTGCCTGCAGCAACCTTGGACCGTGAGCTCCTCCAGAGCAGGGAACAAGGGTTCCCAGAGCCCAGCGGCCCGAGGGTGAAGGGAAGGAAATCAAATTACAGCTTGTGGGTGGGCGGGAGCAGAGGGCAGTGAAGAATACCAGGAGTCAGAAATGGTTACAGAAAACATAAAGAAGTACAACTAAACATAATACAAAATAGCTGTTGTCACTCTCAAGGATTTAAAAATTCCCATTGATGGTTTCCACCGCTACCTAAAGGGCCACACAAGAAAATCCCGTTTTACTTATACATGAATACTTCTTTTTAGCCAAACTACTATCCAGCTAGATCCTTTCTTTCTAGTGTGAAATTTGAATTAACTTGCAACTTTTAAGAAAAGTCAAGTCTACCATGAAGAAAACAGAAGCACTTCTGAAAATATGACAAAGAACGGAATTCAAAACTTTGAAAAACAAAAACACCACGGGTTGAGAAAGGAACCCTAAAAACCCCCAAACTGTTTTGAGGTAAAAAAAAAAAAAAAATCAGCCTCTGCCAGCATATACTTTAACTGGGAAAACATTTATGTCAGTATGAAGAGTCTTACATTTTTGCATAAAAATGTGTATTTACTCACATCTGCTACATAAGCCATGTATCTAATTCTTTTTTGATTTGCAGGAGGAAAATGAAGACATCTCCGTTTTATAAGCCTATGGACAACCACGAGAGAGAGGGTGCCGAGGTAAACACTGCCACGGGACTGGGCTGGTGACAGCAGCGTCCCTGTAGCAAGTGTCACCGACTAGAGACCTAGAGACGGGGAAAGGAAGCCCCCGCAGGACACGCCCAAGCCAGGTCGGTCACACCAAACGGGGTTTCCTAAAAATAGCAAGTACTTAGAAAAGACCTTGCGAAAGAAACCAAAAAGAAAACAAAAAGAACAAGAAAAAGGACAAAAGAGATGACACGAAGGAAGGTATCTGCAGAAATCCGAAGACCCAAGGGAGACAAGAGGTAAAGGGAGGGAACTGGGAAACGCAGAGAGAAGAGTCCCCTACGTTAATGTAGGACAAGCCACTGGAGTCCCTGTGTCTCCAATTTTGGATATGGTATGAAATGATTTCTTTGAGCAATACCTTATTTACACGGAGTATCCTGTGGTGGGTTATTCTGGGAAGCCCTGCTGTGTGGGCGGGTGACGGAACAGACGGCTACCACCAACCTGGACCTACCTTCGCGGTGATCTGAAACTCCTCATGCTCTTTCAGGAGCTCCTGTGTGTGCTGTATGCTGGAACCCGTGGACGTATGTGTGGAAAGGTAGAACTCTCCGTTGTCATGGATCCACTCTAAAGCCTAGAGAGGGAAGGAATGGAGACGTTCACGGCTTAGCACTGGCAAAGAGGGTCCCAGTTCTGTCGTATCTCACTCAGATGTGATGTCACAAGCCAGCGCTGGCACACGCATAGAGTGCTCCCACAAAGAGAGACAGGCTTCTGAAATAAGCACTGCAATTCCAAAATTAAAAGAAAAAAAAAAAAAAAAAAACACCTGACATTCTAGAAGGTTGTAACCATGTCACTTCTGTAGCAATGATTAAAGTGTTCAAGAGGTTCTTGGGTGCCTGGGTGGCTCAGTCAGTAAGCATCTGACTCTTGATTTCTGGCTCAGGTCACGATCGCGTGGTTCGTGGGATCGAGCCCTGAGTCGAGCTCTATGCTGACGGTGCCGAGATTGGGATTCTCTCTCCCCCTCTCTCTGCCCCTCCCCTGCTCACACGTTCACAGGCTTTCTCTCAAAATAAGTAAATTTTTGAAAACTGTAGAATATTTTTATGTGCTGTTTGTAATCTCTGGGCCATCCGCTGTGAGCTGCTGGTCTTAGAGCAGAGACATCACTGTCTCTACTAGATACATCACAGCACTTATAGCATTTTAGAAAACACGAAAAGGAAAGCACGACCCAGACAGATTATTTGCCGTGCAGCTTCCTGAGTGGGGCTGTCACTGCTGTCAGGCCTGGGTACGGCTGCCCTTCCTCCCCCTGCCGACTGGGGAGGGGGATGTACAAAGAGGCACGAAGACAAGTGAGGGCAGGGACGCCACGCTTAGAAAGGGAGGTCAGCACATGCGGTGTCCAGGCCGAGAGGGGTTGGCTGCGAAGCGGGGGGGGGGGGGGGGGGGGGGGGCTCAGGAACTGGTGCAAAGCGGGGGGGCTCAGAAGAATGGGGAGAAGCTCAGCAGGCGGAGAGGTATGCACCACAGCCCCAGGCTGATAGAGCTGGCCTGCTGGGGAAGCCGGGGAGAGAGGCCGGGGGAGAGGCCGGGGAGGGCAGGAGGGCCTTGGAGGCCACAGGCACAGCCTGGACTTTTGTGGGAAAGCTAGTGGGGCTGCCGTGAGGAAAAGGAACTGCAGTGGACAGGGAGTAGAAGAAGCAACACTGGCCGGCAAACTGGTTCAAAGGTTTGGGCAGGACAAGGCTGGGGTTTCCATAGCACGAGGGCTCTGGACGTGAAGGCGGAGGGCAGGCCTGACACGTGTGGGAAGTCCGCACCTATGGGACTCACGAGGGAGTGAAGGTGGGAAACTGGGGAAAGATGGGAAGGAGCTCTCCATCCTGAAAGGTGAGGGGATGGGGGGGACACACCCCGTAAGATGAGGAGGCACAGGGGATACACTGTGTAAGACAAGGGGGACACGCCCCATAAGACGAGGAGCGGGGGTCAGGCGTCGTGAATCCACTTCTGTTCTCAGGAAGGCCCCAGTGGAGACACCACGGAGACAACTGGGATTTGTAAGTCTGGACGCCAGAAACGGAGGTCAGGGCTGGGAGACACCCACAGAGGAGATAAGAAGATGGGGAAGAGAAACAAGGGCAAGCCCAGGCCGAGCCCTGGAGAATGCCAACATTCAGCTGCAGAGATAAGGAAGAGGGGACAGCAGAGAGCCTGGGAAAGCAGCAGAAGAGGCAGGAGGCAACCAGGAAGTCCAAGGGCCGGACTCGCCCAGAGACAGAACCGCGGCCGGAGTCCCCCCTCCGGACCCCCACCGGGGACGCTGCATCCAGGTGACCTCAGGGCTCCGCCGTCCTGAGAAGAGCAGACACTGGTGGTATAACTACTGGGTTTTACCCCAGGATCATGGCACAGAAGAGAACCCACAGGGCCACGGGGTCATCGTTTGCCACGGCCTATGCTTAATGATCTCATTTTTGGCCAATGAGCCAACTTTAGGAAAAAGCAACAACACATCTATTGTTTTTCTCCATTAAAACAGTTATTTACAATTTTGTTCTCTGCAGCTGATTGCTTGCCTTTTAACAGAGAAACAATAAAGAAAGATATGGGAGAAAAGACTATGAAACAATCTCTAATTAGAAACAAATCAGGCCCCCATGCATCTGAAATATGGTGGAACGATCATCAAATCAAATGTTAAGAAAATGTAATTTAAGCTCTGAAAAATACTACTGCTTGCCCTTGTGTTGGGAATACGATAACTACACCTGGTGAAACCAGCAGAGAAAGACTGAGACAGGATGCCAGGTCCATGAACCATGAACTCCAGCTTATCAATCTCTGGGGAACTGATCCCCAGAGCACCCGGCCGCCCTCTGGAGACCAACATTGACCAAACTGAAAGAAAATCCCTAAGTGGGAAATTGTGCTGAGGAATATTCGATCTTTCTTAAGCTAAACGATTTAACTGACTGCCTTACTCTGTGACAGGCACAGGTGAATTTAGAAGACTGACCATGTGTGGTGCGGTCACCAGGGACCACAGCACTGAAGAGGCGCCTTGACCTGCAGGACAGGAGAAGGCTCAGACAGGCGTCCTGAGAACCAGCCTTCTGTCCTCTGTTCCCTCCTGACGCTCCAAATTCTGGACAAACGGCTATGGATTCCTATGCTACCGTTAAGGCCAAGGAGAAGAGACAGGAATCTTAGTTCAAGTTAGGGGTCAGACAGACTTTACTCTAAAATGATCTTCCGTGACTAACCATTCAGGCAGAAACCCTTATCTCAAAATGACTTCAGAAGACAGAAACTCTAAACAGATTTTTTTTAAGTAGGTTCCATGCCCAACCTGGGGCTTAAACTCACAACCCTGAGATCAGGAGTTGCATGCTGTATCGACTGAGCCAGCCAGGGGCCCCCTAAACGTATCATCTTTGGGGCACTTGGGTGGCTCAGTTGAGCACCCGACTTCGGCTCAGGTCATAATCTTGAATTTGTGAGTTCAAGCCCCATGTCGGGCTCTGTGCTGCCAGCTCGGAGCCTGGAGCCTGCTTCCAATTCTGTGTCTCCCTCTTTCTCTGCCCCTCCCCACTCGTGCTCTGTCTCCATCTCTCTCTCAAAAATAAACATTGAAAAAAAAATCGTCTTGATATCTCTACATTAGCCAACTGCCTGAACATTTTTTTATTCTACTGAATTCTTAGAAATTCTGGCACACTTTATTTTAGCTCAATTTACCTGAAGAACAAAATTTTATGTTGAAAATATAAATATAGCAATATAAAAAAAACACCCACTATAATATTTATACAAGCACAGACCTGGATTCTACAATGATTTAAAAAAAATTTTTTTAAGGCTTGTTTATTTTTGAGAGAGAGAGAGAGAGAGAGACAGAGTGGAAGCAGGGGAGGGGCAGAGAGAGAGAGAGGAGGAGACACAGAATCCAAAGCAGGCTCCAGGCACTGAGCTGTCAGCACAGAGCCTGACACGGGGCTTGAACTCACGAACCACGAGATTGTGACCGGAGCCAAAGTTGGATGCTCAACTGACTGCACCACCCAGGCACCCCAACAATGATTTTTGAATCATCATCATAGTTACGACTCGTACTTGCTGGTCCTAAATACGAGGTAATGGCACTAGAGGCAGGCTGTGTGGCATGCTTGCTGGGAGCCCAAATCACAGTTTTACAGGGTTGTGGGTTTTCTTTTCATAGCAAACTGATTTAAAAGGCACGACTGGTCTCATCATTTGAAAGTGGTTTTCAACATGGCTGCAACGTCCAAAGCTGCCCAGCTGAGGACAGAGGTGTAAACGGAGGGTGGAGAGCAATGGGGAGCCCGGGGTCGTGACCGACCTGCTTGGCACTTCGTTCAAAGACCACATACTGCTGGCACTGGTCTAGCCGTCTCTTCCTCATGGTCCAATAATGCAATACCCTGTTCTCCCGCTGGAAGAGTTCATTCAAGATATCTAAGAGGATAAAGAGGAAGACTAATGTTGGCGCTTGCAATCAATGGAGACACTTGCAAAATCCCGCTCATGTTTATTTACAGACTTTATGCAAATGTCAACGTAAGACAGAGCATTCAGTTAAGAGAGCCACACTTGCCTTCCCCATGTTCTCAATGAGCATGTCAACCAGACCTCTCCTTATTCTCTTACCCCAACTTATTATCTTAGGATGGAGGTCACTGGAAACTTAAGGCTGGCTGGATTAATGGGATAAGCTATTGTGTCTCCTGCTGGGACAAACTGACAACGGCCGACAAAACTTCGGTATTAGGCATTTCATTCAACAACATTCAAACCTTCCTGTGAAGGAACTTAGTACAAAGGATGTATTGCAAAATGGTGGCGTACTAGAAGAAAACAACGTTTTGGTCTTTCTTTCTTTCTTTCTTTCTTTCTTTCTTTCTTTCTTCTTTTGTTTTTTGTTTTTACAAAAACAAAAACAAAACCATAAACCATAAGAGAAGCAGGGACATGACAACAGAGAAGCATGGAGCCAGAAAGGCCAAAAAACCCTGATTACATAAAAATTATAAAATGTCATAACCAAACATAAACCATTGTAAAAACACACCACCAATTAAAAATCCAGTTAACATTACTAGGAAATATAAAACACAGAGCTAGTGTACTTCCCAGTAAACAGGAAAAAGATGAACAGTCTGTTAGAAAAATGAGCAAAGCATATAAACATGGAGTTTGTGATTTCTAAAATGTGGCCACTAAATACACAGAAACATGTTTAACTTCACTCCAACGATGGGGCCATCTTCCACCATGTTCCTGGCAAGGACTGTGTCCTCCCATATGCTGGGAGGCTGGGGAGCAGAGGGTACAGGCACCAGTGACCCCGCATTACTGACGGGAAACAGGGCACAAGTCTTGCAGTGAATACTCTGGCAACAGATAACGACACTGGAAGTGTGTACAGCTGCGAACCAGGAATTCGATTGTTCAATCCTTCGGATGTACGGTGCTTACACGAGCGGTATGTATCAGGTGCACAAACACTAAGGCACCGTTTGGAAAAACTGAACAGCAACATCTGGGGGTCAGGTTAAGCCAACTATGAAATCATTATACTGCACATTAAAAAGCATACAGCAGAGCTTTAAATTCTGATACAGAACGAGGACTAAGTTGTATTGACAGTGGTGACCAGTGGCTATGGAATTAGATAATTTATATACATTTGCACACTCAAAACAATTTTTACAGGGAGTCTGTTTTACTCCAAAGGTTTATAAAACACACGAGAAACTTTAGAAGATTCCAGAGACTGAAACTGCAAATCAAATAAAAGGTGTCTAGATTATAACTTAATTAACATTAGGAAACTGTAAAAATATTAAGCGGTCCACAAATATTTCAGGGTTCCCGAGAGGCTGAGCCACTTTGCGACAAACCAGAACCCGTAAGCAGCGTTTACCTGGCAGCTCAGGGGTCAGGCTATACGATCTTTACTGAAAAAGTAAACTAACGTAGCGATGCAAATTAACGCTTTAAATTTCTGAAGCCGGTCAGAACCATAAGCTACCACTGAAATGAAAATATGACACGTGAAAATGAACGTGAGCCAATCGGTCTTTTCCAGTTCCTTCTTTCCACCACCCCCGCCTGGGGCAGGACTGATTTGGGGCGCGTGAGCAGCAGGGCAGGGAACCACCCCTGCGGGGCCTGGTAGGGGAAACTGCCTGGCCTTCCTCAAGCACCTGAGGGTTGTCTGGGGTCACAGGGTCTCTTCTGGCACCATCGCCCTTACGTGGGTCTAATGCACCGTCCCACACGTGAACCCAATGAGAGAAACCAAACATTTCGTTTTTAATTCTCCAGAGCACCCAGAATGATGACAAACAGCAGCAAATGTGCAGTGACTATCACGTAAGTGGGCACAGGGAACACAGTCCCCTGTCTCACACACACATACACCCATTGGACTAGGACAGCCTCGTGAGGATCGTCACGTCTGTGATCAGACAAAGCAGATGATGACCCACAACCAAAGGCAATACTGAAGGACGACAGAAAGGCAATGATTTTTATCTGAAATGAGCCAAGTAAACAGATTACCAATGCAAGTAACTTGCTCCTGCTGAAAAACGGTTGCGTTTGTCACTCATTTTCCCAAGAGAAGAGCCCACCAAGTAATAAATACGGATCTCATCTGTGGAGCTTAGAGGATTATACCCATGTGATGGATAGTATTTCTGTGACACCTCTAACAGATGAATCCCGAAGAACGGGGAGCAGAATACAACAAAGTTTCTGCCAATCATATGGTCTTAAAGAGTTAAGAGGAATCATTTGTTAACAGATTATGGCAATTTTTTCCCTATGAAACCCAACTCTGAGAGGGAAGGATGAAGGACCCCAGTTTCTTCATGTGTTTAGTGCCAATCTCTGAAGCTCTCGGGAAGGATTACCGTGGACACAAGGTACCTTTGTGTCAAGACTGTTCTAAATTCATGAACATTTTCTGAGGATCCATTTCCATGTCGTTTTATTTGAACCTGAAAAAACTATGACTAAATCCAAGTTTTAAGTTCGAGAACACCTGAAGTTGTTTTCACTGTGAAGTATCCCATCGGAATTCTACAGTAGAAACCATCAGCCCCCCTCACATCCACCCATACCAATCCTGTTAATAATTTAGTGTAAAATTTTCCCAGATCTGTTTCTATGCGCTTACATTACATATACGTAAAAACATGGTTTTACAGAAGTTTATATTCAAAAGATACCAAAATATATGATACCGGGCAATTTGCTTTCTAAGTATGTCAAATTGATAACACTTTACAGAACGATATTGGTGTATAATTTCTTGATTTGAACTTTTAAAAATATTTTGACGACAGAAAAATTCTGATTTTCCTCTTTTCTCTGATTTACAATATTTTCACTTGTTGTAACAAAATAGTCAAAGCTAATAAATACCATGCTGTGTGTTCTCCCTGTTTACACTCTTCAACTTTATTCAATAAATTACCAATCTAGATCATTTGTTTCATACTTTATTAGTAAACAAAGAAAATTGGTGACAACTTTAATAATACGTAACGGACATTTAAAACGAAGCCCAGATCTTAGGATTTTAGACCGCGTTCTCACCAAGCTCCTTGCATCACTTGCCGGTAAAGGGAGTCCCGACTGTACTCACTTTTTACTTGTTGTTCAGGAGCTTTGATGTGGGTCACCATTCCCGGCATGTTCACACTATTCCTGTGCAGGTACTTCAGGAAGACATCTGCATTCCTTCTAGCAAGTGTGCAAGCCTAAGAAGTACAGGGAGAGCAACGTGGTGTTAATTGGACTCGTACAAACATGTATTTTGAATACATACGGGTGACAACAGCATGTAGCTCTAGCATACACCTTTACCTAAAACGTTTTCAAGCCAACCTGTGCTTTGGAGGGTACACAGGTTAAGTCCTATTTCAATTAAAAACAACAACAAGAACAACTGTGTCTCTGAGCCCTTGCCCTGATGAAACCAGCTGCCATGCTGAGCGCTGTCCTATGGACAGGTGCACACAGCAGGGGGCTGAGAGGGACCGCCGGCCTGTCCAGCCTCCAGCTGACCAGGTGTATATTGGTGTATCCCCTGGCCAGCACCTCAATAGCAGCCTGGGGAGAAACCTGGAGGCAGAGCACCCAGCTAAGCTGTGCCTGGATTTCTGAAAAGGGCAGACAGCATTTTCAGCTTCCCGAGTCATTCAGTCTCTATCTCCCCAACCCCCCCCCCCCCCCCCCCCCCCCCCCCACAGGAGAGTAGCCACGGGCAACATGTTAATGAATGAGAGTAGACACATTTAGCTCTCAGGTCTGAGTCTGCCAACCCCTACTTTAAGCCATCGAGTTTTGGGGTGGCTTGTTTCGTGGTATTACTGTCACAGATAACGGACATTCCATCTTTAGAAACCAAATAAGTAATCTCATTAATGTATTTAAAAAAAAAACAAGAGGAAAAAAAATCCTTAATTATATTTGAATTGGAAATCCCTTACACATTTCCTGTCTCAGATCTGGAATTAATTCTTCTTCAGGGAGCTCTGTCTCCTTGCGTGTGATACATGGTATATAGACCACAATTGGGACTGTATACTGGGGAGTTCGTTTTTTCTGGTCAGTCACTGTTTCCAGGCCTTTCTAGTGGGTGGAGCTACGACACTTTTTAATTAACCTAAGACTCTATCACGGGTCTCTCCAGATAAGCCTGAAATCAGCTGCCGTAACTAAACAGTGAGGAGGCTGCAGAAGACAACCAGGGTTATGTCAGAAGGACATCAGGGCCCTTCTGAATGGAAGGCGCACCCACGAATGGGACAAGTTGAATATAAAAAAGATAAATGACTGCAATTGATTAAAACACACCAAATATATTACAATCCATGAAGATAGTAAGAAAATTAATCATATGTAGAGGTTGTTAGGGTAACAGCTCATTATCCCGAAAATGATAAACAAATGGAAAGAATCAGGCACTTCTGCCTGTTCTGGACAAACTCTACTTGAAAGTAACCAAACAGCTAAGGAGGGAAGAATTCTAGCTAATCAAGGCAGAAGTAATGATGGAGTATTACCAGTTTTGTGACTCCTTGTGAAACATGATCACTACAGGGCACTAAAGCCACTGGGTGAAAGGCAGACGTGGAAGGCACGTGACAGGTGAATGGGACCCCCTACATCTGAAGCACTGACGACTCCCCCGATTACACGGATAGAAGGAGCAGCAGGTCTCCTGGGCCTCCTGATGTGATGTCATGGAAAGTACGCGTGGGGAGAACACCTGTGCCAGGTAAGCGGACCGCACGCGCACACACACACACACAAACCTGGATCCGACTGAAACTCCCGACATAACAAACTCAGAGGATCCAGGGCGCTAAAGGACCGTGTGGGACGCAAGCATGGAAATCCAGAGTGAGAGAAATAGCACAGTAGGAGTGATTCACTTCTTCAATAAATACTAATAAAAGGAGGTGCTGTTTAGATTGAAGGAGATTTAACAGACATACCAATAAAATCAATGCATGGACCCTGTTTAGAATCCTGATTAAAACTACATATAAAAGACGTTTATGGATCGATCAGAGATATTTGAACACTGTTGGATTTTGTTTAATTAAGAGATACTGTTAATTTTTAGGACAGGATAATGGTGTTGTGGTTATGTTTTCGAAAGGCAGAATTTAAAAAAATTTTTTTTTTTTTAACATTTATTTATTTTTGAGACAGAGAAAGACAGAGCATGAACGGGGGAGGGTCAGAGAGAGGGAGACACAGAATCTGAAACAGGCTCCAGGCTCTGAGCTGTCAGCACAGAGCCCGACGCGGGGCTTGAACTCATGGACCGCGAGATCATGACCCGAGCCGAAGTCGGCCGCTTAACCGACTGAGCCACCCAGGCGCCCCTAAAAAAAATTTTTTTAAATATTATTCATTATTGAGAGACAGAAAGACACAGAGCATTAGCAGGGGAGGGGTAGAGAGAGAGGGAGACACAGAATCCGAAGCAGGCTCCAGGCTGTCAGCACAGAGCCTGAGGCAGGGCTCGAACTCACAAACTGCAAGATCATGACCCGAGCCGAAGTCGGTCGCTTAACCAACTGAGCCACCCAGGTGCCCCGAAAGGCAGAATTTTAAAAAATATATTTGAGAGAATGTGCACACACAGGAGGGACAGGGAGGGAGAGAAGAATTCGAAGCAGGTGCCATGCTAAGTATTATAAAATGGTAATATTAGCAGGGCTTTATTCCACAAACCGTGAGATCATGACCTGAGCTGAAATCAAGAGTTGGACACTCAACCGACTTGAGCCACCCAGGCACCCCAGAAAGGCTGAACTTAATATTTAGTCATATGCTGAAGTATTTACAAATAAAAGGATATAATATCTAGAATTTAAAGTAACCCAGTGAAGGTGGGCATATGCCCACGTGCTGATAATTACTGACACTGGCTGACAGGGACACAGAAGTCTGGTATCGGTTCTATTTTGTATGCTCCTTAAACTTCCATAATGAAAAGTTTAAAGATCCCTAACACCCAAACACTACTGAATCCCAGTTGAATGCAGAAATCTGAACAGGCCTGTGATTATTTTTGTTTTAAATTTTTTCTAAGTATCTTTCTTAATTAACTAAGTAGTATTCAATTTTGTTTTATTCTGAATGGATTCCAGAGAAAGACAAATTACGATGATTCCAGGTCCAAACATCCTCACGGTGGTGGATGTTTCATACATGGGCTTTCAGGTCCTGTGGCAAATGGTTAAAAAAACAAGCCCGAGGAAGCCACGACTGTTTTCCCAACTTTGGCCGCCGAAAAAGAGAGTCATGTGAGGGAAGCTCAAAAGTTCCCAGATAGAATTTTCAAAGAGCTACAATCTGTTCTCCTAGACCAGACAGTAACTCTGTCAGGACAGAGGATCACCTTCAGGATGGAGACAGAAATTATTAAATGTAACAGGAAATGGTGTGAGAGGTGTCAGAACACTGAAGCTATGACAAAACTAAACTCGGTAAGGCCGCAATGAAAAGCAAACCCATGCCTACTTTTCATGGGGCTGAGTGGCAGCCGGCCGAGTCTCAGGAGATCTTTTCCAGAGTGAAAGACCATATCATAAAGACACAGAAGTGCTGGCAAACAGTTTGAGCACTTTTCAGAACTTCTGGGTGACTGAAGTACGAACAAACACACACACACGACAAAAGCGGCTAGAAAAAAGTCCTCAATTAAAGCTGCTCACAGTTAAAACTTCAAGCCTGGATTACGGGCTTAAATGTTTTGCGGGAAACACTTCCTGAACAAGTATTAGTAACTAATCCTGGAAATCACAAAGGGTGCTCCCGCCCCTTATCCACTGTACAGTGGGTTCAGTCTTTATTCCTAAAAAAGGCCGAATTTCCAAAGGAAGATTATTTTAAGGTACAGGCATTCTTGTCTCACCAAATCAATCTCTTTCTGTGTTCAACACCAACCAAACTGCACTCTGCACACAGGGGCTCCCCCTGGAAAGCGAAGGCGGCCTGCACACCCAGCACATGGGGACACGTGTGGTTCTCTGAGAGTCCAGGCGAGCCCCCTCGTGTCTGTGTGCCCTGTGCAGGGACGCAGCAGCACCCCGGAGGCCACTCCGTACCTTCAGGAACGCTTCCTTTTGCTCCAGATGCTTGCTGATCATTGGGGTGACGTGGTCTGTCTCGGAGTTGGGGCCCAGTTTGTCGGCCCCTCCACACCAGTCCTCTTCTCTCTTGTACTCCTGCTCCAGGCTCTCGAGGACGCTGCAGACCTGTGAGCAGAAAGCCGCAGGCTCAGAGGGGCCACTCGGCATCTGACGCCACAGATGGTATCTTTGGGAAGTGTGGTCAGTCATGCTCTGGGGATAAAAGTGCTGGCCTGGGGACCAAGACCTTCGGAAGGCACTGTGGGCCCCACCTCAGGTGAGGACAAACGCAGGGGCCAAAGTAGGCAGGCCTTTCAGAACGAGAACAAAATAAAAATGGAATTTCCGGTCTCTCTCTGGTGTTTCAGGCTATGGATCTAAAGGAGAGGAAAGCGGATGTCTTCTCGGGTCCTTTCCAACCTATTCCTCTTGGATTCCTAGGGGAAGCAAGGATCATTCTACTTCGAGAATGCTTTTCTCTGCTTGAAGTTGAGTTCACTGGCTCGATAATAATGACTGACGAGTTAATGACTGAGCTATCCAACAAAACTAAGCTCCACACAGAATGCCGGTGAGGAGCCCAAGGACTAGAGCGGCCCTCCTCACCTGCTCTGAGGTTTTGTAGAAGGCGACAGACGCGTTCACCAGCTTGAGGCGGTCTTCCATCTTGAGCATGAGCTGTTGCCAGTGAGACGCCACTTTCTCGGCACAGTCCCTGATCATGTCCATGTCATAGTGATTGGCCTGCAGCATGGCCTCCGCCTTCTGCTGCACCTGCAGCGCACTCTGATGTGTCTTCTAAGGAAAGAGAAAGGACAGGGAACACTTGTGTGACGGGGGTGTCACGCATTTATTTACCAGGGAGGCTGTGGTCCCTCCGCTCCGCTTGCTTTGATCCAAACAACTTCAGCGAATGCTCATTAGGACACTTCTGAAAACACAGCACACGGTTCAGTTAAAAACAACAAAGTGTTCATGCCCAGCAACAACCGTGTTTATACTTAAATTACCTAATGAAGGATGAAATGCACTAAGACATTGCAGAATGGGTCTCAGTTGTGGGTTCTCAGCTTGAGAAATAGCAGGAAAAAACCTTAATAGCCAATATTCTAAGAAAGCTGTTGAAATGTTCCCAATTTATTCTTCCTATTCATCCTTCTTACAATAGCAGCCAGAGGCCAATGAACACACGGACAAAAAGGTGGCCACAGTGAGTGCATTTTTACCTTAAACTGTGTACTTGAGTAAAGTTTTCAAGAACTATTGACTTTAAAAAAGAGAGAGAGAGAGAGAGAGAGAGAGAGAGAGAGAAACATAATTAAAAGCTAAGAATGAACCAACTGTGCTCTCTGGAGGTTCATGCCATATTAAAATATCAACATAACATCACAAATCCGGTAGAATTCCTGCTTGTGTGTGCTCCTAGAAGATTCCACAAGATGCTGACAGGCCAGGTTCTCCCACTGACGAACCAGAGTGCTGCACAGGGTAGCCAGGGGGGTAGAGGGGTCCATGGGTCTGTGACATGAACTGTTTTTTTTTGTTTTGTTTTGTTTTAGACAACAGCAAAATTTTACAGATTGCCTGAAAAGGCACAAAATGATCCCATGAAAGACCATATACAATATGGCCCTGTCCTTCACTCAGACACGATGACATGTGTTAGCAGTTATTAGAAATCACTAGGCACAGTGTACAATTCTCAAAAGATGCCCAAACTCTGGGCTTCAGGAAGCGTTAACACAGGTCTGTTGACACTGAGTAGTTGAAAGTTAAGTTAGTCTCGAGAATAAATTACCGCTATTTTCTGTAGCCTTCTTCTCTGGCTATGTATGCAAACAGAGCAGGAAACAAGTTTTCTGCAAGCAAATGCTCTTTTTCCCTTGAGTTGACCTTGAGACCACCTATCACAATGAACTCCCCCCTCTCCCCTAAACTCTACAAATAATTAATCCATATGCTGTGAGAGTGAATTGTAAATGGACCTGGAACTGGGCCAAGCCATTCTGCTGAAGTCCCAGCCTGGCACCGACCCCCATCAAGGTGAGAAACACTGCTTTTCATCAGGGTCAGAGAGTTCTGTGCGCAGTGTTGTTTATGGATAACTGTGAATTTGTGATTTGCACTTGGTCTGGGTAAGCTGCCCACAGTGCTCTGTTTGGTCAGGGATGTGCTTAAGAGACCAGCAAAACAGAACACCCCTCAAGCCCAGACCCCGGCATGGGTTCTCGGGTGCCAAGTGTTCCTGACAGAGGGCGGTGCATCTTGCCGGGACCCTCAAGGCGGGAGGACAGTGGGAGCCACCAGGCGTTCTGGGGTGGCGCCGTGAGGTCCCCGAGCTGGCACACGCATCGTCCCCTTCATTATAGTCACCTGCCCGTTTGCTTCCCTGAAGGAAACTGTAGAGCATCAGCGCTGCCACTTAGGGTCCTGCTGAACCCCGTCTGGCTCAGGCTCAGTCCCCCGCGAGGGAGCGTACATGCATGTCCTGAGGCGAGCGGCGGGCCGGCGTCCCTACCTCGATGGCGTGCTGGAACTGCTCGTGCTCCCTCTGCAGCTGCTCTGCCTCCTGCAAGGAGCTGGCTGTGATGAGTCCGGCATTCAGCATCGACTCTCCGTTGCGGATCCAGCCCAGCACCTGAAATACGACACGGGGACCTCCAAGCCTCTGCCCTCCCCTGGGGGCCCCCCTGCAGGCCAGCCGGGACACGAGCCAAGTGAGCAAGGAGGTCAGGCTGCTCCCATCAGCTGGGAAACATGGGTTTCCTTATGGTCCCACCTGCCAACAGCCTGATGTCCTTCTAAGGTATCTGATCAGAAGTGCCACGTTTTAAGATTGATTCTTAAAATTAATTATGCTTTCAGATGGGAGCTGAAAAGGCAGAGCATCCAGAGGATGGTTACTGTTAGTCCACAGGTCAAAACGGATTAAGAATCACCTATCAGATCTACGGCCACAAATAATTCTCTGATAATCAAGGGAAGTATTTTTCATTCCTTTTATCCTTATTAACATTCAAAATCAGCAAACTGCTTGGTAAGGAAACTACGTTACTTCACCAACGTATTTTCTTTTTTTTTTTTCTTTTTTTAATTTTTTTTTTTCAACGTTTATTTATTTTTGGGATAGAGAGAGACAGAGCATGAACGGGGGAGGGGCAGAGAGAGAGGGAGACACAGAATCGGAAACAGGCTCCAGGCTCTGAGCCATCAGCCCAGAGCCTGACGCGGGGCTCGAACTCACAGACTGCGAGATCGTGACCTGGCTGAAGTCGGGCGCTTAACCGACTGCGCCACCCAGGCGCCCCACCAACGTATTTTCTAATTTAACGTCAGCATTAAATGGCCCACTAACCAGAGAATGAATTCAGAGGTGCTGTAACGCCCAGGGTCAAAGCACAGGATACCCAGCTGTGGAGGGTCATTCTGGTAGTTATTTGTGGCAAAGACCACTTACTGCCCACCCTACAGCTGGCTTTCCTCATCTCCTTTACTCAGAAAACTTAGACTTTGGGGGGTGGGGGGGCCTTAGACTAAAACTGCTTCCCAGCCCCTACATGCAGCTTCGTCGAGGCTAGGAACATTCTGTAGCACCTCCCACTACTGACATCACTGAAGCAGCCTCGGGGCAGCCGTGTGAACACATTTCTTTTCAGATACAAGTACTGCTTCTTCCCTGTTACGCTCTGCCCTTCCTGCTGCCTGGGAAGGGGACAGGGGAGCTGGGGCTACAAGAGCCATGTGGCAACCCATCGCCAGCATGTCTGCCTAACCTACCACGCGGCTGCTAAATGAACACCAGCCATCGACCACATCCTGCCCTGTTATGTAGAGAATATTTATAGGCAAATGCAATTCCTAGTGGATAGTCTAGTCCTTTATTTCTTACACACACGGTTTTGTTTTTAGTAAGAGGGACACTTTATTAACTGGTCTTTATTGTTTTTTAAGTTTTGGGGGGCCCGGAGGGGCCTGGGGGGCTCAGTCGGCTCCATATCCGACTCCTGATTTTGGCTCAGGTCATGATCTCACGGTTTGTGAGTTTGAGCCCTGTGCCCGGCTCTGTGCTGACACTGCAGAGCCTGCTTGGGATTCTCTGTCCCCCTCCCTCTCTGCCCCTTCCCCACTTGCATTAGCTCCCTCTCTCTCAAAATCAATAAAGAAACTTAAAAAAAATAAAGTTTTATGTAACTAATCTGCACCCAACATGGGGCTCAAACTCATGACCCCGAGATCAAAAGTCACATGCTCTTCTGACTGAGCCAGCCAGGCACCCCTATGAACTGGTCTTTAAAAGGCAGGTCACGATACTTTATCTCATCACATGGGGCACCAACAGGTGCTCTTTTAGTTTTCCACTTTTTTTTTTTTTTCAACGTTTATTTATTTTGGGGACAGAGAGAGACAGAGCATGAACGGGGCAGGGGCAGAGAGAGAGGGAGACACAGAATCGGAAACAGGCTCCAGGCTCTGAGCCATCAGCCCAGAGCCCGACGCAGGGCTCGAACTCACGGAGCGCGAGATCATGACCTGGCTGAAGTCGGACGCTTAACCGACTGCGCCACCCAGGCGCCCCTAGTTTTCCACTTTGACAGCACATCTGCTTCAATGTGAGTGCCACCCACATACACACCGCAAACTGCTAACACTCCAGAGGCACCTGATCCCCTCCGTTCGACCTAATACATGCTTTTCTGAGCCTCCATCAGAATCTCGGAAGGCCACACCTTCCTTGCCAGGAAGGTGGTATCATGAGGGGTTTCTCTGCTCGTGAGATAAAATGTCATGTACATGCTGAATGGAGGTACGTATAGAATCCTAATGGCTATGAGCCGAAAACAATCTTTCAAATACTCCATTTTTATTTTGCCATGCTATCTGAGACATGGCAGTGCGGCATACTGGTAACAGAAGAAGTCTCCAGCCCTGCATAAGCTGTGATACCAGCCTATTTGGCAGAAAAATCATATCGTTATTTAGCCTGAGAAGCTATGTGCTCAGAGTTTCAAGCAAGAGATTACCAGTAACAAAACAAGCCAAATGGATGTTACTTTCGAGTGCTACGTCTGCTGGGCTGGAAGCCTTCTCCACTACAGAGTCAACACACAGCTGTCCAGGCGCTGGCTCAACACTTACTCATGAGCTAGGGCTGCCCTGGGGGAGTGTGTCACATCATGTGTGAGAACCACGCTTGCACACGAGCTAGGGCTGTACTGGGGGTGGGTATGTTACATCATGTGTCAGAACAGCTGTGTCCGGAACAGGGACAGTCTCCCCAATTTCCGGGTGGTCACACACCGAGTGCCCATGCACGGGGGCCCGCTGTGGTCCGGCTCGGCGCGCAGCCCTCTGTTTACCTGCTTCACCTCGGCCTGCAGGTGGCGAAGCTGCACACACTGTTCCAGGTGCTTCCGATGCTGCTCAGCCGCAACATCCAGCTCCTGCTGCTTCTCGTGAAGGAACTCCAGCAAGTCCTGGACCCGGGTGGCCATGTCTACGTCTCTGTCGCAAAGCAGCTCCACGCCTGTGGACATGAAGGGAGAGCCGAGAGTTCGGTGGGCACATCGACCCATCCTTCAGCCGTGTGATGGACGCCGTGCTTTCGAATAATCTGCTGGTCGGGCCAAGTTCAAGGAAGGCGTGACCAACACAGGAGTGTTTGTTTCTGTGTGCCTCCAAGCACGCGAGGGGGTCTCAAACAACGCATCTGCTGTGTTCCAAAGCAAAATACAACGCACGGCTAATCAAACCAAACCCATTTCGGGTCAATCTTTCCACAGTGGTTAAGTGGTGACATGTGCCTCACTCTTATAAGCGAGCGAACTTTGGCTTGCTTTTGTTGTGTATCACTGCACACCCAGTTTACTCTTTAGGAAGCATCTGATTTGTGTAAAATGAGTGATGTAGTATGCAGGTTGTTGCTAAGTTTCAAACACTACACATTTCTGTCTACATTTTTGAGCCTATAGTGACATCTGCTGGTAAAATATAAACTAAGAAAAAAATAAAGAATGTGAAAAATTTGTTGGAGATTCACATTTCATTCATGGACAATTAGCGTTCATGCTACCTGAAATGACAAGCCAAGAGTATTAAGGGCTAAGTACATTAATCATAATGTCACAGGTGATCACATGTGAACACAAAACAGCCAAAACGTTCCTTTCGAAGAGCAGGTACCTAGAACATCTACGTCACAGGGGCTGACCATGCTTTGCAGCCATCGCACATCACACATCACACACACACACACACACACACACGATAAAAACCCCACAAGTGACACAGACCGAAATGCACTCCTTACCAGAGGCCTGCACTTCATTGACATACTGCAGAAGGTCCTGCCCTTGGTGGATGACATCGAAGGTTAAGTTATTCATGGTCAGAGCTTTGTCTGCGTGGTGCTGCAGGCGCTGTTCCGCTATTGTGAGATCTTCTGTGTCAAAGTCGTTCATTTGCTGAGAAAGCTCATCATTCCAAGACTCAAGGTCTGAGATGATCTGACAGAGGAGAGCGTCTCCTTAGGACCGAGACTTACAAAATAACGAACATGTGCTGCGACCCCTCACTGCGCCAAGTAAGGAAGAAAGGAATGTGACCGGGTCCCGGGGACATGGAAGCCAGCTGTCGGGGCTTCCATGGGCCACAGATGGGACAGTTAGACACAAAAACCTACCACAACTGAACAAAGTTTATCAAACATACAAAAACACATTAACCCCTAATGGTACTTTTTAAAAAAAGAAGAGTTAAAAAGCCTAAAATTAAATGAAAAACTTTTTTCCCCTTCATGTTTGTTTATTTATGTATTTATGTATTTATTTATTGAGAGAGAGATATCACGAGCAGGACGGGCAGAAAGTATCCCAAGCAGGCTCTGTGCTGTCAGTGCAGAGACCAACGTGGGGGCTGAACTCATGAACCGTGAGATCATGACCTGAGCCAAAACCAAGAGTCAGAAGCTTAACCGACTGAGCCACCCAGGCACCCCACATGAAAAACTCTTCTGATTAGAGGTTGACAGGAGACCAATCTTCATCCTAAAATTGGTAATTAAAAAATTATTTAAGCCTATAACAATGAAGAAAGGTTATCCTTTATAGATAAATCTAGTTATTAAATGCAGAAATAATAAAATTAGAAAGTTTGTTCTAATTATTTTTTTAATTCTAGTGAAATAGCTGTTCAGACAATGATCATTGTGCAGTTAACGGTAATGGAAAGAAAGAGGGGACCCAGCAGGAGGGTCAGGCTGCCCCATCCTCATCCCGCAGACCAACCTCTGCGCCCCACAGAAGTGGGGCCAGACAGGACCAACCTCTGACAGGAGAAGCTGTGGGTCCTGTGGAGCATCTGGCACAGAAACAGACCTGGAATCTCAATCAGGTCTTTTTTTTTTTTTAAATTTTTTTTTCAACGTTTTTATTTATTTTTGGGACAGAGAGAGACAGAGCATGAACGGGGAGGGGCAGAGAGAGAGGCAGACACAGAATCGGAAACAGGCTCCAGGCTCTGAGCCATCAGCCCAGAGCCTGACGCGGGGCTCGAACTCACGGACCACGAGATCGTGACCTGGCTGAAGTCGGACGCTTAACCGACTGCGCCACCCAGGCGCCCCATCAATCAGGTCTTTACATCTAAACTCCAAGTTTATAAGGAGCACCAGGGAAAAAGAACTAGTTAAACAGAAGAAATCACTAAGCGAATGCAGAACGTGGGACCTGGTTTCTTCAGCTGACGCAGTTATTTCCACAAGTCACGGCAGGAGGAAAAGAAGGCTAGCTGAAGAGACGATTCTGGACAGAAAGGCTAAGTATCCTATGTGGGCACAGTGCCCACATGCCCAGTAGGGGCCACCCGTAGAGGGTCCAAGAGAAGCAGGGTCCTAGAGAGCAAGGACTCTGGTGGGGGAGGGGGGTGCGACTCTGGTTATATAAGAAAAGGTCTTACTTTGGAGAGATACTTAAGAGTCTTTAGGAGTGAAATAAGCAGACAAAGCTTTTCTCTCAACTACTACAGCACAACAATAACAAAAGAAGGGGGATTTGCAGCAGGGAACACACAATCCTGCTACATTTGGGAGATAGGCACATGGGCATTCACTGTACGATCCTTGCAACTTTGGTGCAGGTTTGAAAACTTTTGTAATACACTTTAAAAAATTAAGATGAGAAGTTACAGAATCCAGAAAGGAAGAAAAAAACTTCTTGTGAAAGAATACTGTATTATACACTTCAGTGGAATAACATTCCCCATGGGTCCCGATTTACTTTATCTAGAAGAGCAGTAACCACATGAGTTTGAAAATCTGAGAAATGTGAGAGAGTTGACACAGAATCCAGCGAGGAGATAAAAGGTAATAAAAACTGAAGGCTTCCCCAAATGCCTATGGCACAAATCTTCCAGGTTTACTCTTTCATTAGAGAGGTCTGCATACAGTATACGCATTTACATTAATTTATAAAATTGATAAATTTAAATAATGTTAAATTACACATAAGCCAAAAAGCCACTGAGGGGAAGTATTTTTAACAAGGAAGGAGATGACCATACCTTTAATCTTTACCTCTAAGGGGAATCTTCTTTCTTAACGTTTGTTTTTTGACACTGAGGGAGGAGAGACTTGGGTGTGGTGGTGAGGTACAGACTTAGCGCTAACGTCTCATGGAGACAGCGATAGGGCTCAGACACCACTCGAGCAGCGGACAGTAAATAAAGATGGATGTGCTAGAACCAGCGGGATTTGAAAACGCTCACCAAGCTTCAAGAAACCCCGGCGATGGCCATGATCAAAAGATCATCAGGAGAAATCCTGCCCAAGGCTTACAGTCACAGTTTGTCAATCACACATGTGAAGACAAGAAATTGGTGGCAGAAACAAAGCTCAAGAAAGTGGAAATGACTTTTGAATACCAATTCTGGAGAAACAACTTGTGTTACTTCTCTTCCTAATGGTACATATAACTGTGTTCCATAAACAAACTGTCACAGGACGCTGTAGGAATGACTCCGTTGTTTCCAGAGCAATCGAGCAGGTTTTCCCTGGAAATAGGAAGAGGCTGAAACAGGAACATTCTCAGCGCAGAAAACCTAGATCCGGGGCGCCTGGGGGGCTCAGTCGGACGAGCATCCAACTTCAGCTCAGGTATGATCTCAACGGTTCGTGGGTTTGAGCCCTGCATCGGGCTCTGTGCTGTCAGTGTGGAGCCCACTTTGGATACTCTGCCCCCTCCCCCCCTCGCGCTCGCTCTCAAAAATAAACAAACATTTAAAAAACAATTGGCCAAGGAATAGATAAGTTTCTACCATAAAGATAACTCCTCACATGTGCAGTCAGATGGAGCATTTTCCCAGATAAGGGAGGAAATCCCAGCTGAAGTCCTAACTGCTCAGGTTTTCATGTTTTAGGATTACTCCAGAGAAAAGAGGCTCTTAGGCTGTGACATTTTAAAAAGCTTTTAAACTACACTGTAGCTGGCCTGTGACTGCACTGTGGGTTTAATTTCCTTAGCTCAGGAAAGCACTTACCCCTGGCCTGGCCCACCGGCTTTATTAAGGCCACTTGGAACTTTGTAGCTTTGGTGTGGAGAAAATGTAGGTTTCTGGTTTCTGAACTACATATTAAAACACTAGTTTGTTGATAATGGAAATACAATTAAATTTTTTCCCTTTAAAGTAGCAATAATACAGATGAAGCCAAGAGATTTTTTTTTTTTTTTTGAAATATCAACATGTCTTGAAGAGAAACTTCAAATAATGCCTGTTTCCAAACTGAAACTATTCAACAAGCAGCTAAGTTTACAAAAGCAATTCATCTGAAGTAGAGATCAGAGAGGAAAACAGCCATGCTGGGTCTTCTGTTCATACCGCCAGCAACCTGGAAGCTGGACTGCAGGCCCAGGCCGTGGGCAGGTCCTTAAAGAGCTGAGGACAGCGTGCCTTTTCCCTACCTGGCTTCATGTGTCTCTAAACATCAAGACCGAGAGCAGATTTTACCAGACAATGTGCATAGGGTTTAATTCCTCTCTTGTCATGAACCAGAGATGATGATAAGAACAGCCGAGAAGGCCTTTCTTTAATGAAAACACTGAGGGAAGTTTAGACAAGTGGCCAACCAAGGCCCCCCCCCGAGAGGCCTCGCACAGGGCCTGGCCTGGTCCTTGTACCACACGCAGAGCTGGGCCTACAGACAGGCCCGAGAGACGCAGGCAAAGCCCACTTCAGCAGAGCGTCCTCCCCTCAGCCGAGGTAAGTGAAGCAGTCTACGCGAGGCCCCACCGTCCCTCTGCCCCAGTGGATTTAGGGTCTGGGTCTGCATGCCCTCGAGGCCCTTGCGCGGGCAGGGCATGCCCTCCAGACTGCCTGGGCAACGTGCTCCACCAGCCGCGTGAAGCTGACAGGCACCGGGAGACTGGCCTCATCTGCGCCAAGTGAGTTTTGGTTCCTTCACTCATGTTTCACAGACAGATTCGGCATCATCCAATTATACTTACTTGGGCTTGCAGTTCATCAGGTTCAAAACTCAGATCTTACCTGGCACATTAAGAAACGGCCTTTTGTTGAAGTAAAAGGAAAGAAACTCACAGATAAGGGGCAATTTGTAGGCAAGGATGAAAGATCATCTGAGCACACTCCTTGGAAAAGACTGGATTTCCTGCTCTCTGCAAATGCTATCACCACTGACGAGCCTTATTCTCACTCCTGGTGGAGGCAGGCGGGGGCAGGGGGCAGGGGGCAGGGAGGGACAGAAAGAACAGGGGAGAGTGGCGGCCTCAAGTGTGTGCCTCAGACAAGGGGAGGGCTGCGTGGGACCCGGCCCCGGGCCCAACAGGCCAGGACACAGCCAGACGGGCTCGGCTGCACTCACACAGGCTGTGCTCCGTCCTGCTGTACGGTGCGGCTTCCAGCACAGCCCCCTCGGCTCGCAGGGCAAGACGCAAGCCTTCCTTCCTCTGTCCTGCCCCGAATGCAGGGAGAGAAGATGCCGGAACTGGCGGGGGACGAGGAGGGGGCACTCACATCGATGGCATCCCTCTCGAACACGCGCAGCTGCAGGAAGAGCTCCAGCTTGATCTTGCGCTCCTGGAAGAGCTCCTCCATCTGGGCCTGGGCCTCGTCCAGCTGCTGCAGCACTGTCTCGATGTGGCTGATGGAGCTGTTGTGGGGGGTCTTGTTGCTGGAAATGGCAGAGTCCCTGCGGAAGGGAGAGGGGACGGGGCGGCATGAGAAAGTCTCCCATCGTCAGACACCGGATCCGGCCGCGCAGACTTCAGGGGGAGGAAGGCCGGCAGGAAGCAACAACACTGGGCTTCCTCCTGCAAGCCAGCCGCCAGGTCTGTGGCCACACCGAAGACTGTCCCCCGCACCGCCCACCGTCCCCCTGCAAAGCAGCCTAGTAGCTCCAGAAAGTGACTTTCGAAGCGCTTCACTGTAGCCACTCTTCTCCTTAGGTAGAGAGAACAGAATCCACGATCCCTGCTTGCTAAAACGGTGGAGTCCCATCAGGAACAAGGGGTTAAACTCTAATGCAATCGATCAGGACTTTATTGAGTCCCTTTCCCCCGACTCGCGGCAAAGTGAGCATCGCGTGAAGTTAGCAGTAATGGTTTGAGAAGCTGTCCTCGAAGGATCCAATAAAGGAAGTCTGCTTCCAGCCCCCGCAGAGCAGGGAGGAAAGCGACACCTGGGGCCTGGTCTCCCCCAGCCTCTGCTCCCGCGACAGGGACACCCACCATCCTCTGGGGACACAGGTCACTCAGGGTCTGAAGGACACAGTTCTGGGAGGTTTAAATCAGCCCGGCTTGTAAGGAAGTTCCAATAGTTACTAGGTAGCTGTTAACAGGACATATTAATAAAAGCCGAGTTCTGGGAAAGTTTATTAGTCAATGCCGTGATGAGAAAAATCATTGAGTTAAAAAAAAAAAAAACAACCAGTCAGAGAGGAAAAAAAACAAAAAAGAGAAAGAAAGGGAGGTTACTGTCCTCTGTATGCAGACCTGTTATTTGCTCCCCACCTAGCAGGACAGGGAATTACAGCTCATTGTTCCCTGGCCGGCTCCAGGGGATGCGGGCAGGAGGAGGGGACCGGCCCACCTCAGCTGCTGTATGAGGTCCTCCCCTTCCTTGATCACGTTCACCGTCACTTGCAGGGTCGTCTGCTGCTGCTGGCCAAAGCGCTTGATGAGGTCCTGCACGGCCTCCACCGACTCGGCATACACGTCATCCAGAAGCTCCTTCTGCAGCTCCTCCAGCCACGTCCACAGCTGCGGAAGGACAGGGCGCAGTGAGCCCCCCTCCCCGAGTGACCCCGCTGGGAGGCAAGCGAGGCGGCCGGCTCCCAGGGACGGGAAGGGGGCAGGGGCATGGCCCGAACGGCCCCGGCCCCCCCCCAAAAATCAGCGGGCCACCACCGCCTGGTGAAAACACACAGGCACAGAGCCGGAGGGGACTGTCACAAAAGCGAAGAGAGGAAAGGGAAGGGAAGTCAGTCTTTCCGATCCTTCCTGGGCTCAGTCCGAGAGTCAGAGGAATAGGAGAGACACCCCCTCCACCAACCAAAACATGTGCTAAGCATAACGCATTCTTCCACACATCCTCTGATTCTTGTTTAGCAGATGGATAGTTTTATTTTATTTTTAGCAAGGGCACTACTACAATCCATTATTAATAATTAAACCACTGCTCAGATGTGGCTGCTCTGCGTCGCTCAGAGAAGAAGGAAGCCTATGATGTGGTGGAATAAAGTCATCACCACGCCTGGCAGGAGATTCGGATGAGGCGCGGTGCTCGGTAACCTCGCCCATCCCGGGCCACGGCCAAGCCGGCCGCGACGCGGTCCTTCAGTGAAAGGAGTGTGCACAACGGGAACACTTCAACACCTCCATTCCACAACCATCACAACTGCGCCTGGGGACGTGGATGGGTGAAGACAACTTGGAACAACGGTGGCAAGAAGCCCGTTAGGCCTGGTGGGAGCAGAGCATGTCTCCCATCTCTGGGAAGCCCACCACCGCCTCCTCGGATTCTCCGGAGCGCCAGTCAGTAAACTGAAAAGGATGTTTAATTAGGCCAAGCAGGCCCTGGGGGCTGGGAAGCGGTTTGTGTGAGGAGAAAACGCTTCCTGCTTCCTCGGGGATGTAAGAACTGCCCCTCCCCCCCCCACCCCCTTATCTTCCAAGCATCCGTCACAGACATCACCTCTTCCCCTGACATTGACCAGCCGTGCTGGCCTTTGTGGCTAACACGTAGCAAAACCGTGCTTGCCAAAATAAATGCTGGACTTGGTCTTTTGTTTCAGAGCTTCTCTTTTTTGAAAACTGCCCTATGAGGAGGTGTAACTGACATACAATAAACTGCACAAATTTCCAGGATACAATTTCTTAAGTTTTTAACATATGGACACACCCACGGAGAGACCCCTGTTGTCCACAGCGAACAGCTCCATCACCCCAAGTCCTCCTGTGCCCTCTAACCCTCTGTCTCGCTCTGCCCTCCTGCCCCAGGCAATCACCCATCTGCTTTCTGTCACTACAGATTAGCTTGCATTTTCTTGAAAAAGTGTGTAAGTATGGACTGACTCTATTTTGGGTCTGGCTTTCCTTTGACAAAATTATTTTGACATTCATCCATACAGTTGTACGTATCAACAGTCCACACCTTCCACCGTGGACGTGTACTCCAGCCTGGGTGCGGGGCACAGTTCAGCCACTCAGCTCTTGATGGCACTGGAGCTGTTTCCACTTTTTGGCCACTACACAACTCTTAGGAACGTCTGTGCACAGTCTCTGTGCACCTATGTTTTCCTTTTTTTGAATGATATATATGTGTAGAGTGGCTGGATGCTATGACAGGTGTAGGTTTAAATTTTTAACAAACTGCCAAACTGTGTTTCCCCAGGCTGCACCCTGTCATGTTCCTGCCAGCGCTCTATGAAAGTTCCAGTTCCTCCACTGCCTCACCAATTTCTGATAAGATCAGCCTTTTTCATTTTAGTCATTTCAGATGAGTGCCATCTCATTATGGTTTTAATTAGCAATTCCCCACTTACTAATGATGGCAAGACGAGCTAACTTTCTAAGGATTCTTTTGTTGTTAAATGTAGCTTTAGTTAGAAACAAAGTATCCAGATGCTTCTGTCAGATCAGTATTTTAAATATGGCAGGTCAGTTAAAAAACATGGGAAGTAAAGGCCAATGACTTTATTTGTCAGTCACACTACCTGGGATCCTAAGATTTAATTTTACTAAAAACATTAAATAAAGCATCTGTTACTTTATTTCTCAGTATCTACCCAGGTTGGTTTTTCTTTTTTTGTATGTCAGTTATCAAATTTCATACGATTCCAGAATTTTAATTTAAAGGAGTTTTAGAGCTGAGCTGGTTCAACTCTTGGCTCTTGCAGGTTAAGGAAAAGAAGCCCCCGTGACGAACCCACCCTCAGGACACGGGCAAAAGCAACCGCTGGTGCTAAGCTTGCCCTGGAAAAGAGACCTCCAGATCCAGTCCCACGCGCATTGACACGGTACTTCAGCACCAAAAATACCACTCAGTGGTTCACCAAATACGGACCAACGTTCTGCACCATCTGTAAAGGGCCCATAATCACGAACACACTCTTTTGGGTGTTGTTGCTCCTGTTTGCTCTCGTCTAAATCCTAAACCCTCATGAACACGGTTGGTGCATTTATAAACGGAAGGGTGACGGCATGATGGCCACGAGGAATCTCCCAATTTGCTCCTAAGAAAAACCTTCCATGTTCTAGAGGTCACATTGCACAGCAGCAGCATTATGGATTGAAGAGATACTCTAACAAAGCATTGGCTCTGTGACCTAAGACATCACGGAATCTCTCCGAAACCCAGATCACTAAATAGGGATCCTCAGACCAAGACCGGCCTCAAGGAGCCACTCGGAGGGCAAGAAGACAGGCGGCGTAGGAGAGCGCTAGGTGATCAGCGGGGCTCTGTACAATGTAATCACCTGAGGTATAACGAGCCACTCAAATGAAGTGAAGGGCCAGGATTCGGTAAACGAAACCAGGGATGTGCCACTTAGGCTGCACTGAGCAAAAACCAAAATTTCACCAAAACATGTTAGCACGTCAAAATATTTAACCAAAAACATACAGAATATGTTATCTAAAAGGTAGGCTTTTCTAGCTGAAACGATTTCAGCAGCTTCCTGGTAACCTGCCTCCTACTTGGTCCCCAAACCCTCTCAGCCACAGGTGGCCCTGCAGCCCTCCCACCTTCTGATCCCCGTCTGCCGATAAACACTATGAAAAGGTGGGCCTGTTCAACTACATTTATTCCACTGCAGAGGACAACTGATAAACAAACAAAACCCAATTCTTCAGTCCCTTTCTCTCACAATCTCAACTGTCACCTTCCACCTTAATACACATGCTGCCCAGGAGCTGCCCCTACCTCGTCACTGTGTGAGAGAACCAGGAAAAGGGGCGTCACCTGGAGTGCGCCTGTCTGTGAGCCAGCCCCAGGTGATGGGAGGCAGGTGAATGGGTGAAAACTGGAGACACATACGGAATGCAGAGAGAGGCATGCGTATCACACGCCGAGTCCTCAGAAACCGTGCTCGTGCACTGGAGTGCAGCTTCACTTCCATACACTGTGAAGAGGAGACGGGAGATCAAAACCAATGCTCGGAACTGGCCTGGGGCACGGGGCGTAAGTGTGTTTCTACGTAACTCCACGGCAACAGCCTAAGAGATGATTAAAACAAAACACTTCTAAGGTAATATGGAAGCACAATTAAGAGTGTGGCTTCTGAAGCTAGATCGCTTGACACACTATCCTGCCTTAACATTTCCTAGGCTGTGGCCTCGGGCAAGTTACTTACCCAGGACCACGGCTCTGATTTCTCATCTGTAACACGGGCCTAAGTGCCCAGCTCAGACAGCTGCCGGCAAGATTAAATGAGTGGACACGTGCAGAGTGAAGAAATAAGTAAATGTGAGCCACTATTACTAGTTCTGTTCTTGTAAAAATACAAAAAAAGTGGCTAGTACTTGGGGTGCCTGGGGTGCCTGGGTAGCTCAGTGGGTTGATTGTCCAACTTTTGATTTTGGCTCAGGTCCTGGTCCCAGGGTTGTGGGATCAGGACCCATGTCAGGCTCTGTGCTGAATGTGGAGCCTGCCTGAGAATCTCTCCCCCCCCGCCCCTCCCCTGTGCGTGTTCTATCTCTCTCTAGAATAAAAATAAGTAGATAAGATGAGATGAGGTAAATGGGGGTGGGGGGGCCTGGGTGGCTCAGTCGGTTGAGCATCCAGCTCTCAGTTTCGGCTCAGGTCGCGATCTCGTGGCTTCGTGGGTTTGAGCTCCACATCAGGCTCTGTGTTGGCCGTGTGGAGCCCGCTTGGGATTCTCTCCTCTCTCTCTCTCTCTGTCTGCCCCTCCCCTCCTAAAATAAGTAAATAAACTTTAGAAGGTAAATAAATAAAAGTCTTCCTTTGCTAGATAGTTTTCCGAATGTATCCAGGTTCCTATCTACTGTTCAAAATATGTCACTTAGTCTGGTAGACTTAACACCATCCTGCATTTACATCTTTTTACACCTAAAAATAGTACGAGGAAAAGGGGCTGGAATTAGTCCACCAGAGTCCATAGAAACCACTTCCCCTTGGTTCCAGGGGAAGCAGCATGAGGATTTGTGGGTCAAGCCTTTTCCTTCCCTCCTAAGTTTATTTCCTGCACATCCTGGACACTTGAACATGCATCCACAGTGGACTGGGCTCACCCTGCCTGGCCAGCTGTGGAACCAGCCAAGGGCCACCCCAAAGAGGAAACCACAGAAATGGATCCTGGGATGAGGCAGTTGAAAGGGGAACAATAAATGAGGTAGAAGGAGGAAGGTTCTATTTAAATCCATAATGTCAAAATGCTCACAAATCCTTTGCCACTTTAGAATTTTTTTTCCTGGTACTACAGAAAATATTCTCATTCAATTTGGAGAAAAAAAGGATTCTCAGATAAAAGTCATTTCTGCTGTCAGTTGGTGATGAACTGATGCATATCATAATGCAGTAAAATTAAGGTAAAGTCTATTTTTAAGCTGTTAAATTAGTACATACGATGCCTAAAATAACCTCTGAATAAAAGAATGAGAAAAGTCTCTAGGATGCCTGTGAAATTTTACCGTACGTTTCTAGGCATGAAAAAAACTGCACTTCGGTGCATGCTGTCATTTACCATAAAGAGATCAACCTCTGCCCACAGCAAGAGGCGCTGCATTCTACCCAGGCACTC